TGTTAATGTAACGGTACACAGATTCAAAACATAAATAATTGCAAAATCAATTTAACAAGTATAAAAATTCATCAAAGTCTTAACAATTATTTCTGAATTATTAAAAATAAATTTTAAATAATTGTATCAAGTATTATATTCTTAATTTACTAGGGATTTTAAAGTTATTTGAAACAAATTGGTGAGAATGCATTGCTATATTTTGACAGAACTTAAAAGAGGGAAGAAAGATTAGAAGCGTGTTATACCGGAAGAAGATAAATAACGCACAAATAATGAACATATAATGATAGTAATGAACAAAGAAAGGAGACGAGATAATAAAAACAGTAGAATTGAACGAACCGTTCAAATATGAACGTCAAATGTAAAAGTAAATGTTACAGTAAAAGCGAGTTTACGCGCCAGCAGGTTTCACAAGTCAGCTACGCCATTGGAAGAGCGCTCGAAATAGCGGTTTGATACTGAATGTACGCTACTCCTATTGCTATATTCCAAGCGATTCACTGTATTTCATCGTACGCGCCGACGGGAAACACGTATTTATTTCGTATTTGGTACGAATTTCGATTTGTTTATTAATCAGTCTACCTGTCGTGACTTAGCTCTCTTATTACTATCTTTAACGTTTATCCGTCATATTTGATATCGTACTGTTGAATTTGTGTTGTTACGTATCGATACATGTCTAATACGGCCTTTAATTAAAAGAAATCTGTTTGAATAATTGATCCGTCGTTTGCCGCACTTTTCAAAGCCAGACTAGTGTTAATATTTCAAAAGGAGTGTTAGTGCGCATTTATGAAGTTTCCGTTTACGATAGCCGGATCTATGCTACGTAATCTTTTGAAACAATTCGTGTATTGACGAAGTAATGAGTTTAACGCTATTACATGTTTTCTAACAAAGCACAGGCGATCTGAATTTAATGGCATAGGCTGCTGAAAGAGTTTTAGGTATGTAATACGAATTTCACTACTTAAGTGCATGTTACATTTGCGAAATAATCGTTTCAATGGGTATATGTGTTTTAAATGAACGTAAGGTTATATTCCTATCACGCAAGCTAAAAGTATTATAAAAGTGTATCATAATTTTAAAGTGTACAAGCGTTTCAAACTGCTAAAACTAGACCTATACAATGAAAATGCGGTCCTTGACCTCGTTCCAACTCGGTATATAATTTCAATGCCTTTTATAGGTTAGGAAATGTGTTTATTATGATATTGTACATATTAGAAATGTTACGTTGTTGACAGTGCTGTTTTATTGTACTGTTTTATAAATTTCAAGAGCTATCATGTACTAAAAACATTTATTTATAACAATTATTTTTAAAATATATATTGTATTACTTATAATGCGATATTGTATACATAGTTCTAAGAAAAATCTGACATCAGCTAACAGGAAACCGCCTCCTTAATCCTTTTACACCTATATACATATGTAAATTTTATCGTCCATGCCGTTTTAGCGTGTGATGAATAAAATAGGGATAATAATATTTCACATTGATACAATATTTTTCAGTTATACACATTTAAATTTCTAAACATCAATTTTTAATATCTTTACAATGAAATTAGAATGCAATATTGAAAAATTATGAAGTATAGAAATATACAATATGATATGTGTTATTTATTTTAAATATGATATATATAACTTCTATATTTAATATCTGTTACATTTACGCTGTGAAAAAATGATTAAACATGCTTATTATTTCATGTTTACAACAATTTAACGTTTACTCACATTTATCAAACCAAAAGTTTCCTCATAAAAATATACGTAAATACGAATATACGTAACTGCAGAATGTTGACAATCTGAATAAAAATCTAGAAAATTAACGAAACGATATGTCTGTGGTCAAGGTCAAGATTTAAATTGCATGAGTTCGAACGGGTTCGCAACCCATGTATCACTTTCCAGCAAGGCAGTTAAAAAAAACATCCGGATGAATCAGAGTGTATAATCGTATTCTTGAGAAAGAAATTTCAGCATCAATGAAGGAAATATTTTTACCGTTCTGCGAGTTAACGTATGCTGACATAAATAACTAACATTACTGACACAAATAACTTGAAGTTCAATTACTACTTGCCTCGACATAATTATAAAAATAATCACTTGTGCATCATTAACATTTTACCTTATTACAAGTCAATTAATTCGAATAATCTATTGTCCTTTTTTTCTCTTTGTTTTTATCGATACGTATTGGGTAATACGATACACGCTTACTAATTCGTTGTTTATGTTTGCGTTGGCTGATGATTCGAAGTGGATGCTGATCGTGTGCCAGAATCGTGTGTCCATGGTATTTCTATTTCGGTCGTTATCTTTGTTTTCCTTGCAGCTGCGATATTACGGGTCTTTGACTCATGGTTTAACGAACTACATATCTTGGCTATTCATCTAAATGTAGAAGTGCAGCTAGTGAAATACTTTCTGAATGAACGTAACCGTATAGCGGCACTCTCTTTCTGGCACAGGCATCGTTAACCGCACCGGTACGGTGACACCGCTCGGAGGGTTAATGAACATAAAAGACCCATCATTTGGACTTCCGAGATTGAACACTTGGAATACGTATTCTATCAACGTTCAACGATTTTCGAAGTATAAATCGGCAAATTAGCCCCTTTTTTGTCAATTCGTTTCAACGCACTTTCAAGTTTACTACCGGTTTCATGTTTTCATCTAATTGCTCTGTTTATTATTAAAAATAGAGAAATTGTTGAATAATACGGAGGAATGAATTTTTATCGGTGTTCAACGATTTTTCAAGCGTAAACCAGGAAGTTAGCCTTTTTTCAATTCGTTGCAACGCACTTTCAAGTTTATCACCGTTTCATATTTTCTTCTAATTGCTCCGTTTATTATTAAAAATAGAGAAATTGTTCAATTATGTGGCGGAATGAATTTTTTCTCCGCGTTCAATGATTTTCCAAGTATAAATCGTGAGAAACGACGATCCAGAAAGGCTTTCAACCGTTTTTCATTCATAAAAGTGAGAAATATTTACTAAAAAATAGGAATTGTTGAATAATTTGTCGAAATGAATTTCTATCTATTTTCGAAGTAAAAATCGTGAGAAACAACGATCCAGAACGCACTTTCAAATTTATCACCGTTCCATATTTTCATCTAATTGCTCTGTTTATTATTGAAAATAGAGAAATTGTGGAATAATTTTGAAAGAATGAATTCCTATCGGCGTTGAACGATTTTCCAAGTATAAATCGCGGAAAAGAACGATCCAGAAAGGCTTTCGTCCTTTTTCTCACACTTTCAAGTTTATTACTCTAACACACTTTCAAGTTTATTACTCTTTCATATTTTCTTCTGATTACGCTGCTTACTGTTATAAATGGAGAAATTGTAGAATAACCTGGAAAAATTGACGACCGACAGAGCCTCTTCCTGTAACAGAAAACTTCTCAATTCTGCGTTCATTACGACACGTTACAGTTTAAAATAAAAACGAAACATTTCCCCTTCTTTTTTCTTTTTTAATTCAGAAAGTTTGATGTTAAAAATGAGTAAAATATCTGTTGGATTCAATTTAAAGTGTAACAGCATATCGACGATTGAGGATGAAAACTGTTCGACGTTTTCATCTATAAATCGTGTGCCTTTGAAAAAAAAATGTACCAGAGTTTTATCAGTACTGAAGTTAGCTTCAGTCGTATATCTGATAACGTACTGATACTGTATATTTCAGCCGGAGTCATGAAATCTTGAAGCATTTTATTATTGGAGTTTCTAGAATAGTGGATATGTTAGTGAAGAATAAAATCATCCGTACCTAAATACGTGGTTTTTTACCCAAGTAACATACAACGTTTTTCAATATTTTCTCTCTCTCTCTCTATCTCGTCGGTTATTACTGAAAGTGACTAACTCCGTCGAATAAAATAGATAAAAATTTCTTTTATTTATACGAAAAATGAAGCACCGAGCATGTGCTTCGATGACTAAAATTTGAAAGAGCGTGTCGGAACAGAGCGGAGTTAATCATCGCTTCTGAATGGCTGCTCGCGTATGTAAAATAGGTTGCCATATGAAACGTCACATTTAAGCTATAAGCATTTGCGCAATCGGCTGTTTAACGAACAACCTTGTAATTCGTGAAGTGTGTTGTCGTCAGTTGTATACAATTTTCCAGGCGATGCGGAACAACGTAAGAATGCTGCCGAGCGTGTTCGTTTAACATCTTCTCCGAAACGACTGAGGAATTTTGGTGAAATGATGACTTTTCACATGGACTGACCACTTACGATTCCTATTTGCACGTGTTTTAATTTCTACCGCAGCTGTTGTACGCCTTTATCATGACGAGTGTTGTTCCACTCACCGATAAACAACTCCACCAGCTGGTAAATCATTTTTCCATAGCACGCCCCCGTTTTGGCCGATTAAATTCGACGAATACACAGATGTGTAACAACCGTGTAGCATTACAAAAGAAAGGTGTTATCGTTATCGAACAGTTAGTAATAACGATGGAAAGTTATCAAATTGAACTTCTTTTCTAATTTCTAGAGCATCAGTATCGGGAAGGCTGTAAATCCTACGGAAACGCCCGTAAAAGAGAAACATGTACGAAGTATCCTTTTCAACGTAATCTTTAGAAGATGAACTGTTTTTTTCTTTAACAGAATCGAAATTACGATCGATGAAATTTTTTTTTTGGAACTCCAACGATGTATACACCTTACAGAAATACAGGTGCAATTATAGGTACACACCAGGAGAAGGGTGGAATATTTTTTTGGATGTACATGCTAAGACAGCCGTTGCAAGAGAATCAAATCGTCGCGTGGAAATTTTGTCACGTGTTGCACAAAATATTGCACGAAGGTCACGACAAAGTGATCTCGGACTCGCAACAGTATCGCGGGAGATTGGAAAATCTTGGGAAATTATGGCAACATCTGCGAGAAGGATACGGTCCGTTGATTCAGTTGTACATAAGATTACTGATCACCAAATTAGATTTTCACAAGCGAAACCCACGCATACCGGGAAATCTTCAAGTTACACCGGAGGAACTGGAATCCATCGGAGAGAACGATATCAATGTTTAGTAAGTTTCTCGTTTTTGTACCTTAGTCATCTTACAGTTAATTATCATCTCGTTAATTCGTATACTTAAATTTTGCTTTCTTTTTTTTTTTTTTTTTTAGTTTCCAAATGTCCGTCGAAATGTTCGATTATATGGACGACATTTTAAATTTACAACGTGCAGGTAGGTACGGAAATAGATTCTCGTCTATCACCGTGATTTTTTCTAACGTTCGATTTTTCTTCAATTTCGTCTTCGTTTCGAGAAGAGACGACCAACCCTTTCTTCCACTTTTCTGCTAACGCTAGAAACACTTTGCACGAATACCAGTATTCTCAAGACAAAATCATCTTGATCTAATCGTGCTGTACATAGTAGTTTTCATCGAGCAAATGTCGATCTCGCAAATGTCTCTTAAAACAAAAGCAACGCGTTGTCAATTTAGGTTTCGCTATTTAGACGTAATTAATCTATTAGAATCTCGATTATCCAGATCGAACCGAACCATGGCAGACCGGTTAAATCGAGATCTGCATGCTGAATAAATGAACGGGGGCGTCATTGACGGATGAACAGAACAATTAACACGACGGTAATATCTCTTTATTTCGTGAATATTCGATGATGTTTGCGATTAGATGGAACATTGTACGAATTGTTAGAAAGAGAACGCGATACCTTGTGGTGCTCGAATGACTAAATATAATTAAACCGATCGATCCAGATGCACATCGTGCCTCGTTTATTATGAACGCGGAGTGTATCGCTTTTAATAACCACTTCCCGATCAAAATCTACCTTGAAATTCCGTTACGTCGACGATACTGTACAGATGAATATTGTACGATTATTAATTTATACAAATGGAACGTTTCAGTTACCACTTCTTTGAAGAACACACCCTCTAACTCAATGACTGTCAGTGGACAGTGTCGGCTGGCTCCGCTAATCCCGTGCGTCCTAGATGCATCTCAGCTGTATGATTATTGTGTAAAGATTTTATTTAAACTTCATGGTGCTCTACCTGCGGACACCTTAGCCGGTCATCGTGACAGATTTAACAAGCAGTTCCAAGAACTGAAGAAGTTTTACAATACCGTTAAGCAAAGGCAGTATTTTAAGCATCTTATAACGATACCCGCGTTACCTGAGGTGAGCTATGTATTCTTTGACAAATACCGAGAAATACCTGTATTTCTAAAAAAAATTACACGTTAATTTTAGAATCCACCAAATTTTTTAATACAATCCGAGTTACGAACTTACGTTACGCCGATAGTAGTATTACCACCAGAGGAATCATTGGACTCTGAAACTGTCGTCGATAGTCTCATCGATACTTCTGATACAAGTTCGTTACCAGGTGATCAACTAGATTCCACGCGAAATGGTTCGATTTCACCGGACGCAATAGCGGAAAGGTAACTTTAGATGTTGAATATATCGAGATATGATTGAAATTTGAAAGTCACACGATTAGGTTGTTTCTGTTGTAGAGAAAGTCTCATCGATCATTTACAGCAAGAGAACAATCGTCAAAGACAAGAATTACATCGTGTATTGACGGATCATCAACAGATCGTGGGAGAGCTTCAAATTCGTGTTACACAGCTCGAATCGGATTTACTTGTTAAAGTAAATGATCTCTTACTAATTTGTTGATACATTGATTGTGTGAATATGATTTGTTAATGTGCATGTTTCGTTCACTCTTCAGTGCAACGAAATCGAACAGGAAAAACAAGTTAATCAAGACTTTGTCAAGCAGAAAGCAGATATGATGGTGAAAGTCCATGAAAGCGAAGGTTAGAGCGTGTTGTTTTCCCTTGTGTTACGCAAAATATTACGGAAAGCGTTCGTAATATCAGTAGTTTTGGTTTGTTTTTAGGAAAATATAAAATATTAGAGGAGAAATTTCAAAAATTGAAAGATGCATATTCAAAGTTTAGAGAAGAACATATCAATTTAATTAGGAAGGTAGGATCGTTCTAAATTTCTGAAAAGTGATACAAAATTTTAAACGCTACATTTTTTTATGCTTTTACATATTAGAAAGCTGAAGTGGATAAACAATTAGGAAAGCTGAAAATGTCACAAGAACAATCTGAGCGACGAACGGGAGAAGCAGAACGCCGTCTCGAGGAATTAATACAAGGTCAAGCTATAACAGAACAAGAAGCGCAAAAAGCTGTCGAAGCTCAGCATGATTTGGATGATGTGAAGCGACAATTGAATGACACAAAAGCTGAAAACTTGGTTAATATTCTTCTTTTTTCCTTCAGTTCACGTTTAGTTTTTATTTCGTTCCGGTAAAGATGTAACATTTTAGGCTTTGATTGCCAAAAATGATTTTATAACTTCTGAAAAAACGGCTTTAGAGGGGGATCTACACGATTTATTAGCACAGAAAGAAGAGTTAGATTTAAAGATTGAAAAGTTGGAAGTTGAAGCTGATCGATGCCGTAATGAAATGAATACGTATGCTGTCACCATGTTGCACGAATTACTATGTAAGTGTTTTTGTTCATTTGATAATTGAAAATAATTTATATTCATCTATCTGACTTCTGTCGAATTTTCATTTCAGTAAATTGCATTTCTGAAGCAGAAGATATTATGCAATATTCATTGAATGCTGTTGATAATCCAGCAATGTCAGATTTAACTTGTACTCCGCAATATCTTGAAAGATTAGAAGAACCAATTCTAAAAGCGTTAGATACTTTAGATTCATCGTACACCGGTTATGTATGCGATACAACGAATGGAAAAGTGCTCATTAAAAGTGCAATACATGTTGCTTACATTTTAGGACTTTACATAATTCATGCAAAATCTACATCAAATACGTCCATTGATATCGCCTTGGGTGATAGTAAGTTAGGAATAAAAATAAAAGCGTTATGAAACAATTAAAAAGTATATATTATTTGAAATTTTTATTGTATCGTAGAATTGACTGACGAGTGCAAACAGTTAGGATTACGATCATTAACGATGTTTAATTATATAAGAGAAAAATCACCCGTCACTGTGGGCCAAATCAACGAAGTAAAGCAACAATTTAAAAAAGTATGTGAACTTGCCGCTACATTGTCTAACGCGCAAGGCAATGTTGGAGTTATTGGAAATTTGGTAGAAATGGAACTGTTGAGTATGGATAAAGCAATCGAAGAAGCAGCAAATAGAATACAGGTAATTATCTTTCGTTACGTTTTATTGTAATAATCAATTCGTACATGTGTACATATTTTACAATGTTAAATTAGGACATGTTGACGAAATCACGTGCAGCGGATTCAGGTTTAAAATTGGAAGTGAATGGAAAAATTTTAGACTCGTGTACAGAACTAATGAAATGCATAAGACAATTAGTTAAAAAATCCCGATTGCTGCAAGCAGAAATCGTAGACCAAGGAAAGGTAAATCTTTTTGCTATTATTTAATTGACTATTTTAAGAAATAAAATATTTATTTTCCATTTTAGGGCACTGCCTCCGCAACAGAATTTTATAAGCGCAACCATCAATGGTCCGAAGGACTTATATCGGCAGCAAAAGCAGTAGCAATGGGTGCTAATTTCCTGTTGTAAGTACAAATACTTTATTGGAATTTATGGTCTGTTTCCGAAAACTTGTTAATGTTTATAGGGAAGCCGCAGATAAAGTTGTTTCCGGAAATGGTAAATTTGAACAATTAGTGGTGGCATCACAAGGAATTGCTGCAACTACTGCTCAATTGGTAGTTGCGAGCAGAGTAAAAGCCAGTAGAAATAGCAGTAATTTAGCTGCACTTTCTGAAGCATCAAGGGATGTAACACAAGCAACAGGAAGCGTTGTTGCAACAGCTAAAAATTGTAGTCAACTTGTTGAAGAAAATGGTACTTGTGTTGCTCTATGATCCCTGCAAATACTTTTCATTGAGGCTAAAAATTAATATTTTTAATATTTTACAGATGATTTAGATGTTACTAGGCTAACTCTGCACCAAGCCAAACGACTAGAAATGGAAGCACAAGTTCGTGTGCTGGAATTAGAGCAGGCTTTGGAGACTGAAAGATTACGCTTAGCTGCTTTACGACGCTATCATTATCGACTTGAAGGCGACAAAGAATGATCAGTATGTAGAATTATAGCATTTAATATGAATGATAAATCATTACTTTTAAATGATATAATGTTGATAAAAATGAATATTTTCAGAATTTTATTAACGTCTTTGTGAGATTCACGTTAACAGAATTTCTCATCGACATTAAACAGTATTGAACGGAATACGTTTACAAATGGAAAGTAAATAAATAAATTCCATTATAAAATAATATATTACAGAGAAGGAGATCTATTTGGGTTGTCCAACACGAATTACTTTAATATTTGCATGTTTAATGTTTAGTAAATACAATTTTATTTCTTTTTAATGATAACTGAAGATATTTGAATGAACACTAAATTACTATCATTCCTTTTATCTTACCCAAGTATCCTTTATTTTCCCATCATAAATTTATGCAAAAACATTATCTTATCTTATCTATGACTTGTTTATTTGGTTCGCATCGAAGTAAACATAAACGTGAATATATAACAAAAACAAAGCTGACTATTAAATGAATACCAACATTTGGTAATAGCGCAATCTTTCTGTAGAAATAAATAACAGGCGACACTAAACGTGACACGCAGTAGGTAAATTGGAAATCGTTACAAATAAAAAGTAGTTATATTCAACATTTAAAAATTTTCAAATGAAAGTGCAAGGCAGCCAGGAAATTATTTGCTATACAATACTATGGTAATAACATAGATTGCAAATTTGTTGGTTAAAAGAATCGAGAGCTCCCTGCCCATAAAAACACTTCTCCTGGCATAAAAATACAAAACGGTGTAGAGGGGTAGCTACTTACAGGCCATGAACCCAGTGTATACACGATCGATGACATCCCTTCCATGGGTTATACTTTGATGCTGGATTTGCAACTTTCCGGAGTCGGCGCGATGGTGGTTCCCCTTGAAGCGCCCTCGTTGGACGCAAATGTGCCCTCCACTGTAAATCTATCAGAATACTACGAAGGCTTGACGTAGGACTATTCGTGTTACCGTGTTCGCATTTTCGTGATAGTTTCAATTGATCGTTTCCCTGTAACGTGTGAAGGACGCCGTTGTCGCACGTCGTCGACGACTACTGTTAAAAGGGTTAATACGTAAGGTGAGCAGTCAATCCTGATTCGTCCGTTGTAATAATTATTTATAAATCTGCGGTTGAGTTCGAGAAAAAATTGATATTCTTTTGGTGAAGGACCATAATAAGCGTCAGGTAGAGCACTGCAATTATACGAAGTGCTTAAATTTTGTAACGATCGAGTTTTTATACATTTGTTCATTTGAAGCATAAGTGAGTAGACGTTAAAAAGGTTAAATTATTTTGCCTTTTAATATTGAGAAAATGGACGAACAACGATGAAGATATTCGTGTGTCACTGTCTGATGGTGAATATATTCAGTGCTAAAACAGAACGATAACCTTTCGTGAATTTTGCTGACGTTTTGCAAATATCGGCCGCCTTGCAAATTTTTTTATGATTAATAATACTAATGCACAATACAGGGCATTGCACAGTACAAAATTTCTGTGATTTTTTATAAGTAAACTATTCATCAACATGTCAATTTTTATCTAGTTCATTAATATTCGAGTAATGAAATAAAAGCAAACTAGTACAAAAGAAAGCTACGATAGACCACTGATGCCTGCGTACTTTCACGTAACCCATAATGTTAAGAAGATTGCAATTTTAAACGGTAGAATGATGCCTCGCGAACAGCTGATTCGAGACATAGAAAGAACGTATCGTGTTATCAATTGATCGCAGTTATATCGTTAATTCGTGATATTCTGAGATTAATTCACGGTTTCGTGAATTACCGTGATACTTTCGCTCGAAAAAAAGCACCATTTCAAAGAAGTATTCATCGACCTGCGACAGTGTAAACAAAAGCAGAGTTTGCGCTGTAGCCAGCCTAGCCAACGGTCTGTTCGTTTCAGCGGGTATAAAAAGCTACGCAGCTGTGCAGCAAGGAAAATTACCGCTGATTGTACATGACCGCGCATCCCATAATTCTATACGCGTCTCGATTCGACGACGATCCTTCTCGTTTTTGCAAGAGAATCACGGTTTCAAAGGGAAATTGACGATCCATAAGTATCCCAACAAATTTCTATTTCCAGATGAAAGCATTTTTCAAATGAATATTTAGGTTAGAAAATTGTATTCTCACTCTTATTCTACGTAAAATAAATTTTTTCGTATTTTGTTCGTCGTTTTAAATTGATATACTACTGTAGTTCGTTTTGCGTTCAACAAAGTTACGTCGTCATGGACTCAGTAGGGAATTGATAGTAACGAGATTCGAAATGTACCGATTCGTAAATTGCAAAATTGCAATTCGCTAGATACAGATGACGTCATCTAATTGAGACTGCTCGATAAATATGTTGTTTCGTGTCGATATACGGGTTCCCCAGTATTTGCTGTCGTTTAATACGTCTATGATACGTGTCAACGTTGGTTTTGATATTGTCGTTTCATGGCATTGTCATTCTTTTCTTTATTCAAATGTATCCGTTTATTAAAATCTGTTATTGAATATAAACTCCTATCGTACTCCGCGCATGCGCGTTTCAATGAAAATATTGGACCTTATATATAAGGAAAGGAGTGGAATTTACAACGCATTGTCATAGAAAAGGACCATGAATAAGGAATCACACGTCGTTTCTTTAATCGAATCATTAACGATTCATTAATTATTTCTGGCAGCCAGAGTGGCCCGATACCTCGTCGCAACTTTCTAGCTATTGAGTCGGGTTATCGACTTATTTAATGCTAGTGAACGCAAAGAACGCCGATTTTCGTTCGATAACTTCGCTGGTTCGTGATTCAGAATAATCTCTCCTTATCTTCCGATAATGATATCGCACAAAATTTTAGCGTTTTGAGAGTCGCGGTTATTATGAAAAATTTCGAAATTACACCTGTCTAAAATAAAGTGTTTTTCATTTTAATGTGTTTATGTTTTTGGTGTTACGTAATCGAATTCTTTGGTATATTTTCATAAAACTAATGGAATGTAAACATCGGAAACGTTTGTTGTGATAAAAATCAATTTCTGAATTGATCCACGTCGTGAGATTTTTTGCCCATGTTCCTTCGCAATAAGAGAAACCTTGAAGGAGTTGTTATTTTCGTATCTCCGTTACTTATGATTCACGACCGGGATGTAATGGCACCATAATGTTTGTGAAAAATAAAGGAGAATGCACACATAATTCCAGAGTTGACTTTTCGTGAGCAACATAAGCCTTATGCATTAGGCAAATAATGGCGATGTCGTTTACAATGACTCTCGTAGGTAGAGTACATCAATTCTCTCGTTCTGTTGATTTATTTTCCTATTGGTGTCGTTTCGTTCTCTTTTTACCACTTTGAATGAATTTGTAATTCCACGACTTACCATTTATAGTACAAGGTTCTAATTAATTTGATATCACAGCATACTTAAGGGAATGCGTGTCTAATGGAGTTTCTAATTTTTAACTAAAAATTTCTGATAAAAGAGAAAACATACCGTTAGTCGACCAACTATAAACGATGCTTTCTTTTGTGTACAATTAGGCAGACTGGACAAATAACAAGTCCTTCCTTTGAGAAGAAACACGAATATTTTATTACCGGTTTCTGTTTGCGAAGCAGTAACATCCAAGCTCACTATTTCAGTTTTCCTGATTGATTCACTCGCACGTTCAAATTAATTCCTGTTATTTGTTATCTCGTCATTCACCTTGTTCCTCAAAATTGAAAATTACATAATTTTCCCGATGTGCTAATAGCAGATCAAATAAACATGTTCCGTTTGGAACACGCTTCACAGAATAATAAACATAACCTATTCTTCGATTAACGAAGTTACATCACTTCGCAACGAGTAAACACGCGGAGCTTTGCATAACGGAAAGTATTATACGCTTCATTTATCGTTGAAAGGTGGATATTGAATATGCGTTTCGTTTTCACGAGAGAGAGAAAAAAAAGCTGTCTCCTCCACTGATAGACTTTTTATCACGAAGAATCATCGCGTGCAGTTATGAAAATATCCGTCAAACGATCGTGGCGTGCGAAACTAATGCCGCCTTTCGGGGATACGCGCAAGGACAAACGCATAATTTGTTTCTCCTTGCTCAGAGCTGGCGCTCTGGATGCTACTGCTGCATCGTCTACGCTCTCAACCAGTCGTATATACATAATCCTTTTTAACGCCTTTCCCCGAGATTATTATCCCCCTGTGTCAATGTCTCACTCTTAAATAAATTTATTATTCTAATTGTGAGTTAATGCGTTCTATTTGGATAGTGTCTTGAAATATAATCCCAATTGTAAGCTATATCACAGTTATATGCATTATTTAAATCCTACGTATTAGCGTATTTAATACGGACTGAGCTTATATTTAACGAAACTTGTAATATTACGCCGGGATAATATTTTGAAGTGATTGTCTGAAATTAAAACTGTATCTTGCCAGGTGCGTAGTGTTACGTAACGAGATAGCCCCCTGAGAAACAGGTTATAACAGTACTCCTAAAAAGCGATTCTTAGAAAATGCAGCCTTGTTAAGTTACGATGAGGCACAAAACCTGCTGAGTGTATCTAACCTGAAGTGTTGCGAAAGATTTCATACGCGTAATAGATACAGCCGTTAAAGTGTTGTTAAAAATAAATTAGTCTTCCGCTGTCAAAATTATCTCGTCGCTTAATGAAAACTAATCAATCGTTGAATCACATAATATTCTCACGATACGAATCATACATGAGAAAATAATTTCAATTTATCAGTTTGTAAGAACATCTTTCGAACAAACAAGCATTATTAAAAATTCAAATTTCCCCTTCGTCCACATCGATGCAAACAATTCAATCATGAGAACTTTCGAAATGCTTAAAGATATCTACAGCTTCATCGATGGCTTACTTCACACCGATGATGTAAAAGTTTTCTTTTCTTCTTCGATCGGAAAATTGTGTATAAAAATACGATCGTGGAGACTTTAATTGGATG